GTCGAGGCTCAACGGCGAGCGGATATGGAGACGTCGGCTCAGCCGGAGTCGAGGCTCAACGGCGAGCGGATATGGAGACGTCGAAGACAAATGACTGGTGACGGCATAAAGGAATTTGGCCCCAGCTTTGATGAATGTAGTCAGCCCCAGCATAAGTGAAGTCTGGGACGATTAAATGATGAATCGACTCAGAATAAATAAGCTCGGCCCCAGCGTTGATGACTGTATTCGGCCCCGGTTATTGTCAGTATGAGCGGGTGAACTTGGTTCCTCCATTGATAAGTAAACTTGACCCCACCAGTGAGTAATGAAGTCAGTCCGACTGTTTGAATGCAAAAATCCTGGCCTCAGCTCCCGTCAGTCTGAATAAATAATTTTGGCCCCAGTATTGGAGAATAAATTCGGCCCCGGCTCCAATCGGTGTGAATAAATAGTCACGGCCCCGGCATTTGATAAATGTACTCGGAAGCGAGCGAACATAGAGAAGAGATGATCAACACCGATATGAATGAATGGGTTAAGATGGATCTTGAGCGTAAATCAATGTCTTCCACTCCGGCGCAGATAAATGAATTCGCCTCGATTGCCGTGGGTGTGAATGGTCGAACTTGTCGGGTATGCGGTCAATGATGAGGCCAATAAATCAACTTGGTTGAAAGATAATTTGCGTCTCGGCATCAGCCTTGATTATGTATGAACAGATTTGTCCGTGGCTCTCGTCGGTTTGAGTAAATAAAATCGACCCCGACTTTCGTTGATTCTGAATGAATAACCTCGACTGCAGCATTGATGAATGAGGATGTCCCAGCCGGAGGTAAGTGCATTTGATTCCGGCGTTAAGAAATAAATTCGGGCTCCGACTATTATCGGTTTAAATAAATGGACTCGAACTCGGTTGTTGTCAATATAGATAAATAAGCTGGGTCGATTCCTTCACCGTAGTCTAAATTTATTGCCCATATTTTCTTTTGTCTTGGGCCTAAAGGCCCAATAGGGGAATAAAGCAAACAATACCTCAGGTCCAAAGACCGATTTGAGGAGTTCATCTTTGTCGTCCAGAACTTATCACCGTCCTTCTGTTCTTCTTCTTCTTCTTTTTATTTTATTTCCACTTTTTTACTCTGCTCGGGTTATTGTCTCACGATACAAAGATATCCGGATCTATATGATTGAGTGTTGGAGACAATTATCGACAAGTTGTGGATCGGCTTTTGTGGAGATGGAAAATCTGGCAGCCGCAATCGGAGATGTACCCCAGATTAGAGGTTAAATGAGATGAAGCTGGGCGGCGACGTCGGGGATCGAGATGTCTGTTCTGGAGAAATTGAGGTCGGGCTTGAATTTGTTGATGTCGGGACTGATTTGGCTTGAGATCGTTTTGTGCAGCTCGTCGATGTCGGTCTGTAAAGGACTTTATCACAGAAGTTGAATTTCCAGCAAAACGAGGTCGGTGATATTTGATGACGTCGGAGTCGGTGCCGCCGAGGTCGGATGACAGTGTGCCGAGGTTGACTCCAACGTTTACGATCATGTCGGAGAGACGAGGTGACGTCGGAGGGACGACGTCGGGAACGGTGGCCAGTGAAGTTGGGGGTCCGACACCTATTTGGAGGAATTGCCGATAGTCCCGAAGTCGAATAGAGTTTGAAGAGGGTGACCGACATGGTGAGTCCTGGTGGCAAATTGGAGATGCAGTGACAAATC